TGCTGCTCCAGCTGCCTGGCGGGCCCCACGCGCCCAACGGTGCCTGCCTGGGCTCGGCCCTGGTCACGCTGCGGCACAGGCTGCATGAATACTGTGGGGGCGGTGGGGGTGCTGGGGGCAGTGGTCACGGGGCTGGTGTAGGTCGGAAGGGACTTTTGAGCCAGGACAATCTCACCAGCATGTCCCTCTGACAGGCCGGGTCCCTCAGCCGCAGCAGCCAAGTGCCCGTGGGGGCCCCTGGACATTGTCCTCAGAGGACTCTGGTTTCCTTCCCCTGGGGGTCCCCAGACAAGGCCTCCTTCGTTGTGCATTCAACAATTATTTATTGAGTCCCTACTGTGTGCCAGGCACTGTTGAAGGCACCGGACCGGGCAAAGGGGAACCGAGGCAGAAGTGTCCCTAGTCTCGTGGGACTGATGTGGAAAGTCAACTGGGCATCCGAGAAGCTAGATAAGAACAGAAGGAAAGGCTGGGGGAAGTGTGTCCAGGCAGAGGGAACAAGGTTCCTGATGTGCAAGCCAGCTGTTTTAGTGGGAAGATCATAAAGCTGGCCAGTGTGACCCCAACTCAGTGAAGAGGAGACAGGGCCAGGGTTAGGCCCTGGGGCTGGACCACCCAGGGCCTGTGGGCCCCAGATGGGGTTTGGGGTTTTGTTCTCAGGGCAATGGGAAGCTGATGGACAGTTTTATGAGGGGGGATGACAGGATCCGATGTACCTATTTAAGAGGTCACTCATCTGTGGCAGGGAGAATGGATTGGAAGGGCCGAGCGAGACAGCTGGGGGACAAGAGAGGATGATGGGCCAAATCAGGGTGGTGGCCGTGGGAGGGGGAGTCAGGGACAGAGCAGGATGTGGGTAGAAGGGTGTATGGGTAGTGTGAGTGTCAGCATGAGGGAGGGAGGAAGCCAGAAGGACCCTAACTTTGTGGCCCATGGGTGATGGGGTCATTTATTATTATTATTTTTGTTAATCCTCACCTGAGGATATTTTTCCATTGTTTTTCTTTTCAGAGAGAGTGGAAGAGAGGGAGAGAGAGAGAAACACATTGGCTGGTTGCCTCCTGAACTCCCCAACCAAGGGCGGGAGGGAACCTGCAACCCAGGTACGTGCCCTTGACCAGGAATTGAACCCTAGACACTTTGGTGTGCTGGACAGCGCTCTCACCACTGAGAAACCTCGGGCAGGACTGGGTCATTTATTAACATGGGCAGACAGGGGCTTGGGGCAGATCAGGAGCCTAGTTTTGGGCCTAAAATGCCCTTTAAACATCTCAAGTCAGGTCCAAATGGGAACAGAAGCCACTCAGTATCTCAGCAGAAGGAATTGAAGGCAGGGATGGCGGGGCTGGTGGAGGGCAAGGCTGAGAAGAGCCAGAGGCGGGACAGTGAGGCGGCCCAGGGGCAGGAAGCAGCTGCTGCCACCCCTTGGCTGGAGGGACAGGGCTCTGGTGGTGTTGCCTGACCCCAGGACTAGGGTCACAGGCTCAGAGGGAGCGCCCGGAGACAAAGCTACTGCCTGAGGTGCCCCAGCCATGGGGGCGAGGGGGTTGGGGTGGACACCAAGGTGGGAGGTGAAACTGGTGGAGCCCTCAACATGCCAGACGATGCTGCCTGGAAGACTTTTGGGTCCTCCCAGGGGCCGTTCCTCACCTCGGCCATCACCTTGGACTTCTGAGCTCCTCTCCCCCTTGAAGACACCCACCTCCAATCCTAGCCATCTTGAAGTTGAGACTCTCCTTTCCCGAGACTTCATCCGTCAGCTGCTTTTTGGACCTTGGAGAGCTGGGCCCTGCATCTTCCCCTCTGCCAGGGGCCGGCTGAGAGAATGGGGAATGATCGAATCAACAAATAAAGAGTGTGGGAAGACCAGTGTCCCACGTGCTCTGCATGCAGGAGACGGGCCCCTGGGCTCTGACCCTGACCCTTGGTGCCTCTCTAAACCACAGGCCAGGGCTCCTCTGTGCCCCTCCTGGGCAGGAGTTGGGGTGGTGCCACATAGAAGCTCTTGTTGCCAGAAGGGACAAACCAAGGGACATGAGGGCAGTGAGGCCTTGGACTCTTCCCCAGATCTCTGTCGCAGGGAGACCTCTTTTAGGAGGGAAAACACACTTGCCTTTGTCCCAGGACCAGGCGTAATTCTGGCCCCTGATGTAAGAGAGTTCAGGCATGACGAGCTTTCTCTAATCCAAGTAGACTCTCACAGCCCAAACCAAAGCATCCTGGGAGCTTTATCTGCCAGTCCCACGGCAGCAGGAGCGCTGAGGCGAGGGGAGGTGGGAGCCGCAGGTCTCTGGCCCCGCAGTGGCCTCCGTCACAGGCGCCTCGCTGCGAGTGTTAATGTACCTTTCTGTGCAGCTCAGCCTCCAGGCCCCAAGCAGGCTGCTTCACCTGACATTTAGCCAGGACGCGCTGATGTTCTGGACCTAGGAGTGGATGGGTTCCCAGTGTGGTCCGTGAATGTCATAGTGTTTTCAGACTTTCTGGCAGTTGTCATTTTCAGGAATTTCTCTGCCTTCATGAGCTGATGGTAGCACCTTACCTCCAAGATGTGTCTAAACTTGTATTTAGTGAGTCCCGGTGCTAGACATTTTGTGGGCTTGCTAACAGCTGCGGTTTCATTTGATCTTTCCATCAGCTATATGAGGAGGTACCATGCATCCCCTTTTTGCAGATGAGGAAACAGGCTTTTAGCTTTGAGTGACAGCTGTCATCTGAACCCAGACCTTCTGATTCTCAAATCCAGATACCTGACCACCAGGCTCGTCTGTATTTTATTGTTATTAGTTCCAGAGAGAGGAAGGGAGACAGAAACATTGATTGATTGCCTCCCGTGTGTGTCCTGAACAGGGATTGAACCCACAGCCTGGGTATGTGCCCTCACCAGGAACCGAGCCTGCCACCTGCTGCTGCCTGAGTCTCAGGGCCAGTGCAGAGGTCACTCTGTGTGACCAGGCGGGAGCCCTTAGGCAAGGCCTCTCCTCGCTGTCACCTGGGACGTTGCCTTCCTGAGAAGAGCGGGGCACTGCACCTTTTCTCCGGATGCAGAGCCACCCTTCCTCCAAGTCTTGTCACTGGCCTGCAGGTGTCTGTACAGATGCCCTCCTCCCTCCATGTCAGCCCCTCACTCCTGAATGCAAGAGGCGTCTGGAGTGTGAGGAGACCTGGGTGAGGGAGGGGAGAGGCCTGATTCTAGCCTGTGTGTGGCCACCAATGCCCTAAGGATTGGTAACGCTCAGGAAAAGGGGGAAGTGTTTCCAAGGGCACCCCAGGCATTGTGCCTAGTGCTTGGCATGGCTTCTGTCTTCCCAGCATCCCTGCTGGGAGATAAAGGCTCATCCCCTCATCTTGTGGGTGCAGAAGCTGAGTCCCTTGCCTAAGACCTCAGGGCTAATTAACAGGCGAGCCCAGATTCTGACATCAGCCTGAGTTTCCACTGCCCCTCCCCATCACCACTAAAATCACTTCCCTTTGTTAAATCAGTGTCTCCCACCTGTGGTCACTTATCTCCACACACTGTCCAAGGTGCTGGGGACACGAACGCTCCCTGCCCTCATGGAGCTGACAGGAAGTAAATGATGGGGAATGTTGGGAGATGAGTAGGACAACAAGGCAATGACTGAAGGGCAAGGGAGCTCATACTTGCTACTTAATGTAAAGTGGGAAGGGAAGGCCTCTCTCATAAGATGACTTGTGAGCAGAAGTGAAGGGACATCTGAGGGAAAAGAATTCCAAGTTGAGGGAATAGTCAGTGCAAAGGCCCCGAGGTGGAAGTGTGCCTGGCCTTTTAGAGAAACAGAGATTGTGTGGTTGGAGTGGTGAGAATAAGGAGACAAGGTTACAGAGGGAGCAAGAGGCAGATGGTGCAGGTCCCTGGCTTAGGTGAGCACTCGGCTCTTACTCTGTGGGAGGAGACATGAGGGTTCTGAGCACAGGAGGGATGTGATCCGACTCCGATGTTCACAGGGCTCCTCTGTGGGGAAGAGACGAGAGGTGGGGGGGCGGGAGCCCTGCATTCAGGCTGCAGAGGAGGGTGGCTGGAACAGTGTGGGAGCGCGAGTGAGGAGAAATGAGATTCTGGGTATACTTTTAAAGAACAGGATTTGTTTACAGGTTGGATGCTGGACGAGAAAGTGACTGAGCACCTGGCAGGTCGGGGCCTGCTAGTTCCCTGTGAAAGGGGTTTGGGCGGGAAACCGAGTGAGGTGTTGGACACGTTAAATTTGAGACGCCGATTGGATGTTCCAAGTGAAGTTGTCACTCTGGTTGGATCCACAGATCGAGAACAATTACAACAAATGATTTGCATAGTTATCTTGTACTCTACATAAAATAATATTAACAACCAGCAACAATAGTTTATTTTCATGCTTGGCCTTCCCATCTGTTCCACCTCTTGCTCTCCAGTAGCCACATGAGCTATAGGGATCGCCCCCAGAGGACACGGGCTCGGAAAAGTGTATTAGTTCACTGACGACACAGTACGTGGCAAGAGTCAAGATGAGCTCCCGGGTCTGTCCAATTTTGAGACCAGAATGTTTTCTAATCTGTAGCTGCTTTTGTGATAGAGTGGATCCAATCGGATGCCTTCCTGCTCCAGAAAGCCCTAAACCTGGCAGTTCTGTTAGGAAACAAAGGTCCCCTGACGGTTAGAGGTGTGTGTAGGCTAAGGATCTGTAGGCAGTAGAGGAGCAGGGGCTGTCCTAAAACCTCTCTCTGAACTTGAGTGCCTGGATCCTACCAGATGGCCCTTGGGTCTGCTTACTTTCACAATCTGGGAGAGCTTCAGACAGGCAGCTAAGGGGTGAGTGGTTTTGGTTTGTTATTGGGGACACCCTGGCCTAGAGAGGGAAGCGACTGGCCAGTGTCACCCACAGCAGGGGTGTGTGTGTGTGTGTGTGTGTGTGTGTGTGTGTGTAAGATCTGCCCCGAACTCCTTCCACGCCTAGGCATCTTCCCCGTGTCTCCACCTTCCTCACCAAACCTCCTTCTCCACCCAGATTCCTTCCCGGGGACAGAAGATGTAGGCGGAGCTGGTTTTCAGGTTTTTATTGTGGGTGTATTTCTGGTGTCAGGATAGGCGGAG